TCCATACATTCGTTTAATTGTTGATCTGTGTATGTAGTAAACCATTTTTTATCTTTGGTTGTAGCAATATTATTATAAGTAATGTCCATCAGATACCATACACTCGAATTATCTCGATTATGACGCATTGGTATTGGTGTTAACCTATACATATAATATAAGTTCAATGTCAACAATTAATGGTATTACTATATCAAATATTAATTTTTTGTCTAAGTAATAGATTCTTATTCTTGTAATTTTTTGAAATTCATTTAGTTGCTATTTCCTTGTTCCCATTGGAATACAGGTCCATTTCAATGCCCCCCCCCACTTACGAAATTTGACCTTCTGACCACGCCAAACTATTGTGCATCGCTTGTGCAGAAATGTGCACCAGGTCCCGACGTTTGTGCACAAAAACTGAAAGCTCTATCCCAAAAACAAAATGGGGGTTGCATTGAAACGGTAGCCCCCCCCCACATTGAATATTTGGATTTTTGAAGGTGCCAAACGTTTGTGCATCGTTTGTGCAGAAATGTGCAACAGGTTCCGACGTTTGTGCACAAAAACTCCCAGCGCTATCCAAAAAACAAAGTGGGGTGGCCATTGAAACGAGACACCCCATTTTTAGAAAATTAAAATTTTTAAAGAGCCAAACGCTTGTGCATCGTTTGTGCAGAAATGCGCACCAGGTCCCGACGTTTGTGCACAAAAACTCCCAGCGCTATCCCAAAAATAAAGTGAGGGGGGCATTGAAACGAGACACTCCCTTTTTTGAATTTTTTTTTATTTTTTTTATAATAATAATTTCATTTAGGTACCTAATAGGTTTAATACAATTTTACCATTGCCATGTAAACGTCTAGAAATAGTAGGGCAATAGGTTAATAATATATTATATTTAAATATTGTGATTATAATATTATGAATAATATTATGTTTTAAATATTCCTGGGTTAACCTATCCTAAACTAACTGAGAATTTATCTCGGTGGTATTCTGCAGTGGGATCAGTTTTTATTTTTCAAAAATGTTGATTTGAAAATTTTTGAATTATACAATAATATTTGAATATGGGAATAAATATTTTTCATAGAATACACAAATTAATTTATATATTGGGATCGCCATTAGTATAATTAGTAGGGTATATTGGTATAATTGGATGGGTTTTCTGGTTTTAGTCCACGACAAATTAAAAAATGTGTTTAAAATTTGAATTATTATAAAATATATTTGGCTGGAAATTTTCTTTTGTCAATCATAAGATCGATACGCGATACTTTTTTGAGAAAATAAATTTGATCTCGAGGCTTGGCTGAGGTTGAATCTTAAAGATTTAAAGTCGATACTTCCAATATTGAATGATTTAGACGTACGTGTCTCCAGCTTCCCACATTAGAATTTTCCAATTTTTTTTTTTGGCAAATAATTATAATGCAATTAGCATGTATTTGCATGCTAATTTTTGTAATTTGCATGCGTTTTGTTTAGGCGTGGTAAGAAAAATAGGTGGGGGGCTGTAGACACGTGTCTCCGAACCCCCCACACATCACAAAAATTATTTTAAAATTTTTTTTTACGCCAATATTTAGCATGCAATTAGCATGAATTTGCACGATACACCCCGAAACTCTAACGTAAACCGTGGCTTCGCAATATTCATTTTTATGATTTGCACGTGTCCCCAGCCCCCCCCCCCCACCACTTTGGGAAATACTTGGAAATTCAAAATCTTTTCTACGCCAATATTAAAAAAACTTATATAGAAAAATATATTTTTTTAATCAACTAGGTGGTTTTTGTCTGATTGAGATTTAATTTATTAATTCATGATTTTTTTATTTTCATTGGGTATATTTTTACAAATAAATAGATTTTTTATTCAACTAGGAATTTTATTCCGATAAAGTTTTTATTATAATGTAACCATGTACTCTATGCATAATAAGCCGTCTAAAAACACAAATATTATAAATTTGATACAATCAGAATTACATTAAATGTGTAAAATTAAATTTTATACCCAAAACATGTATTATAAGATGTTACAACTAATAAGTATCAGATACTAATGGTCGGTTGTATACAACTTATGCAATTATTATATTAATTTATATGCTTTTTATAACTTTTTATTTTAAGTTAGTATTGCTAACCTGAAGTTATAATTTATAAGCAGTAGTTATGTTTTTAGATATTTTAAATTAAGATTTTTGCATTAGTATGTTGGAAACGCTGGAATTTAATTTTTAAATTTTTTTTATGCAGGAAATTTATGTCTTGCTGTTATTAAAATCTGTAAATCTGTTCCAGCCCACGGTTTAAGATAAAATTGTATCAAACCTATTAGGTACCTAAATGAAATTATTATTATAAAAAAAAAATAAAAAAAAATTCAAAAAAGAGAGTGTCTCGTTTCAATGCCCCCTCACTTTATTTTTTGGATAGCGCTGGGAGTTTTTGTGCACAAACGTCAGGACCTGGTGCACATTTCTGCACAAACGACGCACAAACGTTTGGCCTTTTAAAAATTTTAATTTTCCAAAAAGGGGGGTGTCTCGTTTCAATGCCCCCCCACTTTGTTTTTTGGATAGCGCTGGGAGTTTTTGTGCACAAGCGTCGGAACCTGTTGCACATTTCTGCACAAACGATGCACAAACGTTTGGCACCTTCAAAAATCCAAATATTCAATATGGAGGGGCTACCGTTTCAATGCCCCCCCCCATTTTGTTTTTGGGATAGAGCTTTCAGTTTTTGTGCACAAACGTCGGGACCTGGTGCACATTTGCGCACAAACGATGCACAAAAGTTTGGCGTGGTCAGAAGTTCAAATTTCGAAAGTGGAGGGGGCCATTGAAATGGACCTGTCCGTTGGCGTTTCCCGACGTGTTTCTTTCATTTTTCTGTTTCGTATAACAGTTTGAAATTTCATGACCTATCTTATTGCAGTAACTGCAAAGTACACCCTGAGTATTGTTATTGTCCCTACGAACTTTATTATTGTTGTTTGCATTGCGCGTGCCACCTACACGATTATTATTGTACATATTTTGTTGCGCACTGGGTCGATTGCTCCAGCAATCCCGTGCTAAGTGATTAGACTTGCCACAAGTGTAGCATCCCGTGTTTCGATTATTATTGTTTTGTTGTACATTATTGCCATTGAAATTTCGTCCATAGCTGTTTCCGCCTTGATAACCGCCGCGATTAGCCGCGTGTGAACCATATCCGCCCCGATTGTTATTCCCGTAATTACTGCGGTTATTGTGATTAATTTATCTGTTATACCCGTTGAAATTATTATTTCTGTTGTTTGATTCGAATTACCGTTTCCTCCGCGATTAAATGCGTTGTTTCCATTACCATCGTTTTCGCAGAGTTTATAATATAACTCTTCGATTCTACTAGCGAATTTTGCCACACTTTCTCCCTCGGCCATACGTGCCGTGTTTAAAGCACTCTGTCCTATACTTTCTGTTCGAATGCCCCTCTAATATGGTTTTTATTGCTCCCCGTGTTTCTAAATTTCGATATTTTGTTACTTCTAACGCATTTCCTGTCAACTTAGAAGTAATTAATTTCATTAATATCGGTGTTTCTGCTTCCGTTGTCTCTTTAAGTGCGATTTCATAAATATTTATAAATTCAGCTACGACCTTGTTTCCTGTGCAAATGGGTATCATAGCAATTGCTTTATCTAAATCCATTTTACTCATTACTTTTTTCCTAACCACTGGTTCTAACTGCACGTGAATTACGCTTGAGTCTGACCTAGTACCTGAGCGACCTACGCATAGAAAGAAGATTAAATAGAAAGGCAACTACTAGACAACAAAGTATTGATACAACAAACGACACCAGCTCTCCCGTCGTTTGTCTCAATAACTATACTATCGATAGCACTAGAAAATCGATAGTACTAGATTATCAATAGTTCGCAATCGATTATTGTTTTTACTTTTTTATTCGCATTTGAAACCGAAATAAAGTATTGAATTGCAAAATAATAGTATAATTAATATATTTATTAAAAACATTTTCAGAAATTACATTTTAGATATAATATAATAAAATAATACAAAGTTACAAATAATTTACATTTTAGTTACAATTAAGCATAATATAACAATAACAATATTGATATACTACAAAGCTACAAATAATTTACATTTTGACGAAGTAAAACTTTCTTTTTCTTAGAATATTTATTATTATACAAAATAGCAGATTGTTTAATTGGATCCAATGTATTTGATTTTTCTCCTTTGCTTAAAATTCTATTGATATTATTAATATAACTGTACGTTAAAAGTTTACAAGCAGTTTTAAGGAACATATTACTTAAATCATGATTTGAACATTTAAAATTTTCAATAGGTGCACATTTTGAAATTAATGAGAGAAACTCATTAAAACCATTATTTTTAAATACAAATTTATGAAAATTTGAATTAAAAAGCTGTATAATGAAACTATATAAATCTATGGTATCTTGATCATGTTACGTCCCAACTGATGTCGATATATACATCAACGTGGAAATGAATACTTGATGCACTTGGTTATTATGAGTATTTATTTAAGTACAAAATTACAATGTAAAAAGCTTATGTAGAGAGGTGAGCGGTGTTACGACCTGACTCTGAATTGTTACTAAGATTTTGAGTGGTGTTACGACCTGCCTCCAAAATGATACTAAGACTGTGAGTGGTTTTACGACCTGCCTCCAAGTGTCTTGAGTATCCCTAACCGTCTGACGAGCTCTTGTCCTGGGCTGGTATTTATATGATCGAGTCCTTTGGAGTGGGTGGTCATAGTAGTGGCAAAATTCGGTCATGAGACAGAGTCCTGGTCTCGTACTTGGTATGCTGGTCGACTCGTATCCTTCGTATGAATGTTTGACTTTCCTAGAGAGATACTTTTACAGTGTCCCTAACGTGTTATAATATACTAATTGCCTTATTAATTATATCGTCGAGTACTATTAGAAACCTGCGCTACGTCGTACATTGTTATTATTTAATTACTAAATACGTGGGTACGTAACAATCAGGATATAATAAATTACAATCTATGTATTGGCGAGCCTGAATAATGAAATGTTCCTTTAGGATTTTCGGTGTTGATAATTTTGAAATGCAAACTGTACAATTTTTTGTAATTTTTGTAATTTTTTTTATAATCCAGCCGCTGACGTATGCTCTACTGCCAGAGTTAATTAAACTTCCAGTTTGCTCTAATGTAGGGAATGTAGTCAAAGCATCATGTTGAGCAGAACAATTTTCTTCATCTTCATTTTCTTCATTTAAAGGGATTTCATTGAATAAAAAATCTTTCAAGTTGTTCATGCCATCACTATCATCGTCTTCACAATTTGCACCAACAGAATGAGTAGAAGTAAAATTATTGATCACTAGAGATTTAAATGAAGAAGTAAAATGTGCAGGTGTTGGGTTGATGTTCCTTAATCCGTGACTTCTAATTGTTCCAAAAATATTTTTAATGGGGTCTTGATTGAAATTTCTTAGAAGAATGTATTTGAAACCTGCTTTTAGAAGTCGCTTACAAATTAGTTGAAGTCCTTGAATAGTAGTTATCCAGTTGGCAATTGATGGCATTTTTTTCGTTGGTTCATACTTCATACTTCGTAGAACAAAGCTTTACTCCAAAATACCCAGTGAGGAGAGGTCAATGTGACTGCGCTACGAAGATCCTTGCCAGGTGTTGGTGACATTTCCATTTGCACTATCAAACAGGTTGTCAACAAATAAGCACAACTGACCAGTGTTTTCAGCTTCACGATCAATACCTACAAAAAAAAATAAAAGGAATTTAGATATACAATAAAATTAACAAAAAAAAAAAATCAATTCTATAATATTTTGTTATTAACTCACTCGGTGTGCAATTTTATTGTTTGACATAACAGCAATCCTCTTCATTATTGCACGTACGCGTTGACTAAATACCTGCGCAGCATGTGACACTTTCATTTTCTTAATTTTCTCTTCATATACATGGGCATCAGTAAGTTAAGGTACTAGACGATCTCCTTCTGTGCTCTTATCTTTATCAAACTCATAAAACTGAGTTATGTGCTTCCAAGAAGCTTTTTTTTGGCTGTTGTCATAAATAAAATTTAGATCTTTTGTTATAAAGTTGTTTCTAAGACCTTTTAAAAGATGTGGAACATCAAAGGGAGGAATGATTTCCTTATCATTTATTTCAAAACCAAAAAGACGGTTTTCTTTTTCTTTCTTCATATATTTAGTGTTTGTTTCTTGACGCAGTCTATTTATCGCAGCCACATTAGTAGGTGCTTGGTCACATACAGTAGAGATGACGGTAAGACCAGTTGATTTTACAGCTTCAATCACTTCTTTGATACTTTTAGCAAGCTTTAGACCATTCATTTTGCTGGTAGTGAGGTAAAATGCAACTGGCTGTTTAATTTTTTTCCTGATACCTCGAACCATGAACACAAGAACTTTATCTGCGAATTTAGTTGAGCGATCACTTTGCCTAAGGTCTTCAAAGCTAATAACCATACCGTTTGATTCATTAAATTGTAATGATGCAGAAATGGACACTTCATCAAAAATAACCGTGCAGAATCGATCGAGTTTGTTTTTCAATTTTTTCACGGACCCTTTTAAATGTTCAAAAATTTTTTTGTTGATGCATGTTTCAAAAGATACATTTTTCAACAGATCAGTGATTGACTTTCGTGAAGGTAGTGCGAACACTTTTGAAAGTGTCGAATATGCCTTCCCACTTTGTTTAAAAAGAGACAATGCAAACACCTTGTCATCAATCGTAAATCGTCTTCCTCGTGGTTTCTCGGGTTGCATCCGCAATTTGGGATTCAATAAAATTTTGTGTTAACTGATTTAATCCATTTAAAGAGTTTGCTTTTGAGTTGATGTATGTATCGGAAATTTTAATTCTCTGTTTAGCATCTCAATATCGTTTCTTTAGTATTAAATTTCGATGTTTGTACACTCTCACAGAATTGTATAAAAGATCTTTGCGAGGTGTCAATTGTGCTCTTCGTTAAATGTTAATGTCTTTTAATAAACTTTTACAGTTTTTTTCATGCTAAATAGTATTATTGGCAGCAAAGGAGTACTTTCATTTTGGTCCACGCCTTAAAAATGATAAAAAATTAGTAATTAAATAATGTTTTATTAGAATATATACTTAACTGTCTACTTCTACCAGTATTTACATTTAAGAAAGTAAGAATTGTAACATTACTTGGGAAACAAATGACTTTTTATCACAAAATATCATATTATTACTTTCAGTAGAATATTAACAAGATTTAAAATTTGAAATGATACGTTCAATTTCACTATATTATTACTTTGTATGAAAAGAACAAGTTTTTGATAGAAAAAAAAAAAAACTAAGTCTCCCCAAGTAAATAATCAGGACATGTTATACTTGATAGCAGCTATATAAACTCAATTTAAATTCTTAATAAATATACAAAATCACTTAATAGTTACTTTTGTTGACACTGATGTCCATGACAGAAGAAACTGTAGATACATTCATCAGACATACTGCGTTTGCTGAGTCACTCTCATTGTCGACGTTGACTATTTCAATAATACATAAATTATAAAAATGAAATACCAATCATCAAAGTTAAATGAACTTAATATTTACAGTTAAACAAAATCACTTAATAGTTACCTTTGTTGACACTGATGTCCATGACAGAAGAAACAGTAGATACATTCATCGGACATACTGTGTTTGCTGAGTCACTCTCATTGTCGACGTAGAACATCTCAATCATACCTGAAAGTTGAAACCTAATATTAATAAGTAAAGTAAAATGAACAAGCAATTTATAAATCAAACATCCATTAATACATTAATAAACACATGCAATAACTAAAGTTTCAAGCAATTTTTTTTTACATGCTGCCTTATTTAACAAAAAACAGATACTCGAACATCACAATTTAGGTTGCTAGTACATAATATTTCTAAGACTACAATTTAACTTAGCAAACGTATAACTACATCATGCCATATTTATACATTAGATCAAAAACAAACCAATTATTGACATCAGCGCAAGAAGATTTGATATTTGGATATCAAATTTTCTAAATTAACTAATACAAATCAACCAATTAAAATTGGAATCAAAGATTAGTTAATTTACAAGTAGTTGATTTTATACAGATGTTGTTTTTTAATACAAATATTTAATATTAATTTATACAAAAAAATAATAAATAAATTCACAGAATACAAACACTACACAAGATATTTCAATAAGTTCAAAGAAATTTAAAAAAAATGTAAAAAAACTTCAGACCCGATGTTTTTAGCACACAGCACAAACGTCGAACACAAAGTGAAAATTTGTCACCGTTAAAAAAAATTCAAAAGCCTCTATAATATTTTAATTTGAGGTTATGTTTACTATGATCAGTAATACCTACGTCTGGGAATCTTAGGTTTTTTGATATGTTGGCAATGCGCTTGACTGAATGCCATCACTAGCGTTCGTGTACTAGTTCCGTCGTATGGAGTTATACCCCCCTGGACCTACGAATTGTTCCTTTTTTCGTGGCGTGATACCTATCTGGTCTGTTAAGCTAAGTGTTCTTACAAAATTTCCCCTAACAGCTCTTTCGGCGTTAGCTATCTGTTTCCTAGTTTGTTCTAAAAATTCTTTCTTTATAGCGTCTTTTAAAATTGCCGCTTTTAATTCTTTCTTAGATTTATATTTTTTAACTTTTATTGAACTGTTCGCAGAACTAGTTTCAATATCTGAACTATCGGATTCTGCCATATATATATCTAAACATAAGGTAGGTACATATAATTTATATAAATTATATTTATTAATTTACTTATTCAATTAATATCCTATCCGTGTATGTAATTACCAATAGTATTTATCCTACATGTATCTACTATTATTATTTATAAACTATTAATACGTAACTACCATCACCAAAATGAATTATACATATATATTATTACTTATAAAATAATTAGCATGCACAAATAATTATTCATTAAAGAAATTACGTAAACGTGCGTCGTACGTCGTAAATAGATAAGTACCTATCTAATAACACGTAAAACACTCAATAGCCTTTGCTACGCGTGTTAAATTTCGTTACGGTTTATCCCCTTACCCGTTCCGCGATGTTTCATGCGTATGCGCTTGTACTATGCTCGAATATTATAAAAAACAATCTCCGGTTAATTACTCCGTAAATCCCTCTAAAGATATTCGGCTAGAAAACGGTCGAAATCGTGTAAAAAGTGTAAATTTCGAAAATTTCAAAAATGATAAGAAAAGAAGTGTTAACGTGGTTATTGCCCGCCGCAGAATCTGAACGTTGCGATTGGCCGGGCCGGAAAAACGACACGAAAGTCGTCTATCCCCGTGGACAAAACTGGGAACTAACCTCGTTTTATAATATACTAGCTCTAAGTGTAACTCGGGGCCCGTTGGACTCGCTGAGAGTGGGTACCGATTTTGGAGACAATGAAATATAAAAGTCGCAACGGTTGTAAGACGAAAGTTTATGATTTGTGATAAGGATTAGTGATATGGATTGGAGATAAGGCTAGACGTTTGGGCGGGAATGTTAAAAGTTTGAGCGTCTAGCAATCCGTCACAAACGTTGTAAATGGATAGGCTGGATACGATCTCCAGGATCACCTATATAGAGTATACCTGCAGTCTGCACATAGAGTGGTATGTGCCGTAGCGGTACGTACCGGTGCTTTATCTTATGTAAAAAGTGTAAAGTCGAAAACCGTGTTGGAGTTTCTAGCAAGTCAGTCATCTCAAGTCAAAATCTATTAAGTTCAAGTTAGCCACTTAGGTAGGCAATCCGACTTCGTGGGATCGCGGACAATGTGCTACAGCAAATCAGGTAGGCAATCCACCTGTGGTGGATTGCAGACCCGACGTCAAGCAGCTATAAGTGAAAACCCTATCACACAACTTACGAAATAATTTACGAAAAATTCAAACTATATACAATATACATACAAACAAATATGATATGTATTTATTGTGTGATATAATATAACAATGAACATTTTAAGAAATGTGCAATTATAATTCCTAAAAAAAATTAACATATAGGTAGATTGTTAGATACATGCTATTATATTAACCAATACAATACATATAAACATGTAACTATAGTGTATATATAAATTAATTTAAAAAAATGCAAAAACCTGCATGTTAAAGTGTCTATCAAGTCAATCATCACCGTTTAAGACGAAACTAAAATGAGCAATCCGTCTATAACCTATATATAGTAGGTATATCACATAGATTGGTATGTGCCTTCGCATATCCGGTGCCTCTTCTTATGTAAAATGTGTTAAGTCGAAAACCGTGTTGGAGTGTCTAGCAAGTCAGTTATCTCAAGTCAAAATCAAGATAAACTTTCAAGTTAGCCACCTAGGTAGGCAATCTGAAATAAAATATACAAACTATATTTATATAACAATCATGGAAATTTTAAAAAATATGCAATTATTATAGTTCCTAATAAAACAAATATAATATGTACCTATTAATTGTGTGATATAATATGACAATGACTTTAAATAATAATAATGTACGATAATATGTTCCTGTATTTTTATAATATTATTATTTAATTTATATGAAAAATATAGTGAAAAAAAATGCAAAAAAAGTCGAGTCTCGGTCGGCCGTGTAAACCATTTGGCCATGACGGTTACGACCAGCGTACGACGGATTCGAACCCGGGACCTACGTGTTTCCTACCTAACGCCTAACGCCCTAACCTACTCGGACACAGTTTGAGACACGGAATACCGTCAAAACATCAACACTTAAGCCGTGCGTCTACGGAGCGACGTAAACCGATATATTCGATGTACATCGATGTAATCGCATATAATTCGCTTGTAATACGAGCTGGGTATGTCATTTTTCTATTTTTTATGTGCATCACGTTAGCCGGTGTGTACCTATTCATTCTAAAAATAACACAAGTTTCATACATCACCGCTGATAACAAACTGATACAGTCATTATATTCGATTGCAACGATTTTTTTACGAGTATTCAGCATTTACTTTTCATGATTATATTATATTCGTTTGTGATGTTTTTAGGCTATTCAAAATGGTCAAACGCTGCGCGCTATGCGGAGTTGTGGACAACAACGACGATGACGTTTCCGTACACAGATATTTCATACAACACGTTAAATATCAATTTATCATAATAAATTATGTGTCGCCACTTAGATTTCCAATCGCCGTACAACGTCGTCTTCAGTGGGTGGCATTTGTGGTGGACCAAGGTTTTCCCGTGAACCACACATCTCAGCTGTGTTCGAGGCATTTCTTCCCCGGTATCGACTACGCTGTGGGAAACGCGCTGCGCCGCCGTTTGAGGCCCGCAGCAGTGCCGTCTTTGGTGAGTGAATTCATTGCAGTGCACCATGCCTGTATGCCCGTCTGGCTGGACTTCTAATACTAATACTGTTGTGTACTCTCATGGGTTTAATGTACCTACTGTGTCTTTCAAACTTGTGGCTAACGACAAGCAACCTAACTTAATTTGATAACTTAACTCAATGACATTCAACGTTTTTGTTGCAACATAATGCATATAAGCTCACACAAGTATACTAATAAACATGATAATCGTGTCTTTATCATTTCAAGTTTGATCAATTTTCATAACATTTACAATATGGAAATTACTTAATATAATGTTGGATAGTGTGGCCCACTGTAGTATGTAATTGTCAACATTCCTTACATGCTTAATTATTCACTATGCTTTTAGATACATATTATTGTTTACATA